GCCCTTATATATGGGTTGACTAATCCTTTTATAAAAGGGTACAATAAACAATACATAAAGTACAAGTAAACCTAATACATATAATCTATAACATACAAGTAAACCTAATACAAATAATCTATTTATAACAGAAATACAGGTAAACCTAATACATATAATCTAATACTATCACAGTACCAAACAGTGGTACTGTGATACTTAGGAGTATCACAGTACCAAACAATGGGGATACTCCTAAGTCGCCTAGTGTCGAGCTATTTCTCAAGGTATCCCTATTCGAGTTTTAGATATTCTTGTAAATACCTCTCTTCATGTACCAATAATTGTTCCCATATTCGACCTTAGTCGTCATGTTGTAACTTTAGCTTAGTCGTCATGTTGTAACTTTAGCATGTTCTTTCGCCAAAATAGCTCGACTGAATCCCATTTGTTATGCCTCTGCAGTGGAAGTCGACGGATTCCGAAGCTACTGCGAGTTGTCCAAAGACTGGGAACTATGAGTTCCTTGCCCTTCTAGGACCTATTCCAATCCCTCCAATGGGATTCTACACTTTTTTTTGGATCAAATCTCGTTGGTCTTCATTTTCCGCTTAATTACAAGCTGCTAAACTGTTAGTAATTTATACAATGTTCCTCCTAACCAGTTTTCTCCTAATTTATAAACTTTTTCTATGTAATTATGGTTTTCAGCATTTGTTAAATCACAATTGTTTAATTAGTATACAGAATTAAGTTATAAAAAAACATGTGTATATATTTCGTAAAAATATTCATACACTATTTAATTTTTATTTTATTTACATATTTTAAATTGATTACATAAATAAATATTACTAGCATGGATTAAATATTTTTCATTACATAAAATAAAAAGAAAAAAAAGACGAACAACTTCTATAATTTTTATAAATAATAATCACATTATATGACAAGAAAGTTTATAATTAAATAATAATCAAGTATTATATGGTGAACAAGAATATATCAAGAAATAAATATATATACACTAAAATAAAATTTATATTAGTACAAATGTGTTAGTGAGATAATACATTAAATATCTTTATAAGCTAGTCCTAACATATTAATCTTTTAATGTTGTAGATAAAAAAATTAAGGATGGTTAAAAGATGTGCTAAATATAATATAATTATGTTGTTTTTTGGACTTAACACATTGATTAAAAGAAATAGAAAATGGATGATAATTTTTCAGAAAAGTCTTAAATTCATTTAATATTTTTATACCGTGCATGGCTACTAGTAACTTGTATTAGGCATCCTCCTAGAGATCTTATCTTCACCCGCAATTAAAATATTATCATTGCTATGTGGATTTGGATTTTTTATTTTTTTGGGGTACAATTTTTCTTTTCTTCGTACATTTTTTTTTTTTTTTT